AGAAAGCAGCCAAATAAATATTTTTTGAAAAATTGTTTTGTATGTCGATTACGATGCTTGTCAAAGCATCAATTGTTCCGAAATCTTTTTTATAGCCATACTGGTTTTTAGGCATTAGATTTTGTTTATATAACCACCATTCCAACCTACTTTTTATTAATCTTTCGAGGGTTTTCAGAATGCAGGACAACAAAGAGATTGGTCTATAAGACTTAGCATAATTTGGGTCTTTACCCGGTTTCAAAATCGGGACAACAACGACCTCCTTAAAAGCCGTAATAGTGCTATTATTTACAATAATATCATTATATATATTTAATAAAAATTCCTTTGCAATGTCAGGTAAATTGGTTAACATAGGATACTTGATATTGTCATATCCGGGGGCAGTATTTATGCGGGAATTTAATGCATTGTCTAATTCGATCATAGAGAAGGGCTGAGCAAAAAGTGATTAGTATCTTTAGGTAATACATTTTGGTTTGTAGGAGACATTACAGTAGGGGGGGCAATTTTGTCAAAGAATTCCATGGTCCAATCATCATTTAAGGAACGGATAGTCGGTTCTTGTCTTCTGTTCATCTTTCTTGCTTGGTTCCAGAGGTCATGAGAACTAGTATTTTTATTTAGTTTAGAACATCAGTTAATCCAATTTTTTTTTGCTTTATTTTTTAATATTTTTTTAGATTCAGCAACAATTTTTTGGCAATTTATATAATTAGACATAGTTGGAGAATCCTTATAAATTCTTAGAGCCTGGCGTATGTTGTTCACAACGATGTCACATTCATGGTCCCACCAGGGAGGTGAGGGGCGTTTTTTACATTGAAAAGGTTTATAAATGGGTATCGATTGAATGGCCGCATTATTAATACTATCTATAAGAAAGTTGTATTTGTCATTATTATCTACAAACTCGAAAACATTTTCGAATGTCGACTCTAATTTGTCAGCATATAAACCCCAATTGGCTTTATTTATATTCCACTTACTTTTGGGAGTTACTAAATTATTGAAAATTTGTATATTTTCATATTTTACCAAAATCGGGAAGTGGTTTGAACCTAGCGTATCTGAAGTGATACTCCAGGAGAGCTTGTTTGCAATATCTGAAGAGCAGAGAGTTATATCTATCATGGAATCATTTACAGTAGGCCGATTTAAACAAGTAGGTTGTCCATTATTTAATACAATTAAATCTAGATCAGTTATTGCAGAAAATACTTGTTGACCATAAGTATTATTTTTATGCGAACCCCATATAGCATTATGAGCATTCATATCACCTCCTATTATGAATGGTGAACTTACTTGAGAAAAAATTCTTATCCAGTCCTCAGTTTTAGTTTTAGTAGTTGGAGATCTGTAGACTGATAAGAAATGTATGGAACTGTTATTTAATTTAACAGTGCATCCACAAACCAGGATATCAGTATTGAAATTTTGAGTTATATTTAATTTCATAAAGCAAAGGGTGGTTTTGATGAGGATTGCAACGCCTGCATATCCGTCATCTCGGTCATTACGAATAATATTGTAACCTTTAAATTTGTACACAGTATTTTTCTTAAACCAAGTTTCGCTAAGTAATGCTATATCGATATTATTATGATATAAGTATTGTAATAGAGAATTTTTATTTGTAACAGCGGAACGAGCGTTCCATTGCATAATATTTAAATACTTAGTATTGAAGACTATTTCTTTAAAAAAGTACCCTCCAATACCAAATTTATATCTCTTTTTATTAGATCATTATCAAGTGATTTAACATCTTCAATTGATTGAATTTTATTACAGATAGTAAAAATATATTCTATTATAGACTTAGATAAATTATCTTTGATTTTCTCTATATCATTATATTGAGGTTTGTATGGATTTGCGGGAAGTGGTTTGGAAGGTCCAAATTGAAATGGGAAAATGGGAGCGATATTAGGGGATAATGCAATAGGTGAACCAGCTTTTCTTTTTTTTTCTATTGTCGTCAAGACTGCGATTAGGTGTAATCTTCGGTTGGGACAAAAAACTGTTAGTATGAGAATGGAAGGTACTTGTGCTTGGTTGTGATAATATTGGCGGATTCCGCTCAAATGTTGGGAGGGGGGGGGGGGGAAATTTTCATCTCTGTTTTCTAGAACAGAGAAGGTGTTTCTAGTAGCGAGACCTGCAAAAGATGAATCACAATAGGCTTTAGCTTCTCTAAACGAAGTTTTCTGATTTATCATAATATTTTTGATTTTCATAAAATGGGCAAGTTTTATCAACGGATACATGTCCACTAATTTCACAGTGAATACAGAATTTATCTTTTGCTTCACAATTGTGATTTTCAAATTTATCTGAACCGCAGTTAATACAGATAGTACGCGAGCTTTTACATTGTTTAGAAATATGTCCGAATTTTAAACATTTGAAACATTGAGTAACTCGTCCTATAAATTGTTCCACGGCAAAAAATACTCTATTAACTGCTACCTGATTAGGTAAAATATTACCTTCGAAAGTAACCAGAATCATCTGTTTCGGTTTAAATTCCACTTTACCATCTGATTCAACCCTGCGATGTAAACGTTTAATATTTAAAACTTTTGATTGGCATTCAATGTTTTCAGATAAGTATTCTGGATCATATTGTGTATCAACACCTCTTATTATTCCTTTGGTTTCAAGTAGATGATTCGGTATATATGCCTTTAAATTTTCAGAAATCAAATTAGGATATTTAACTAAATTATTTGCGTCATGAAGAGTTCTTAATTCAACTTTTATGCGATTTCTACCAATACTTTTAATTTCTACAATGTTAGGTACTTTTAACTGTTTATGTAAAATATGTCCTATTTTTAATGGGTGTAAACGTCCCAAATTATCATTATTTGTACTCTCTATATAAACATGAACATTTTTAAAATTGTACTTATCTGAGGCGGCATTAAAAAGTCGTGTTTCGTTTGTTTGTTGAATACTGAAATATTTATAATGTCCGGCAAAACTGGAATCATACCTTTAATTATGTTTTATTGTTACTAAAGAGTTATTAGGTACTCTGCCACGCAACTAAACAAACTGTTTGGATTTTGTATTAAATGCAAGAACACAATAATTTATACATTTATTATTTTTAGAGAAAACGAGTATTTACTTTAATCGTACCTATTTGTTTCATTTTTAAAAATATTTATTTTTTTGCTCTATATATAAATTAAATCAGGTGGTTTTTAAATTATTTCTTTTAAAATAACAATCCTTTTTTCTTCCCAAGTTTTTAATATCAATCACCACCTCGTACAATATTAAAAATAGTTATTTCTATGAACACTACTACTACTAATACTACAGTCCCGCTAAAAACAATATTTGTCTAACGTCTGCCGATTGATAGTTATGAATGCAATGGTTTCTATATTATGAGGTGGGGGCATTAGAGAAGATACCTACTGTGAATTTCCCATGAAACTGAACTCGAGAGCAATAACTTTTAACTTTAAAAATTATTGAAAATTGTTGATTAAAACTCCAAGTGACTAACAATAGTAGTTTACGTTATAAGCCCGTTACCTAGATCTAGAACTGGTACCTACTTGGATTATGACTTCCGTATTTGCATTTTTTCAGAAAAATTCTCCAAAATATAATCACTAACCGCCCTTAATCAGACACCCTGTGCAGTGGTTTTACTCGAATCTTGTTGGTTCAAATTGTGTATTATTGTTTGACGTTCTTTGTTATGATCTTGTTTTAGGTGCAATAATAAATGAACTGAATGTTATTAAAATTTGTGCAATATTTGTACTTATACAATAACTTTTCAACTTTCTCTTCATATAAACTACAACCTTTAACAATGAAGTATTGTTACAGTTTTTTATTATCGAAAACATCTCGTTACTTGTATTTATCTATGTAGATGCGTCGGATTTTTATGCCACGTGGCCCCAGTATAAGGTTACTTTTTTCAGTGTAGAAATAAGTCGCAAAACCGTTAACTATCAGTAAAAATCTGATCACTTCGACATCAAAGGAGCCGACTCAAGCTGTCGCTACTGTATTATCAGACACATACTTTGATTACTATACGAGGCAAGAGAGAGGTCCGACACGCCCAACATAGGGCGCGGCAATTTTGAACCCTGTGACACAGTTTACAGCTAAAGAATCAGATCGCTCACTCTGCGTCGGCACTTTTGATCTCAATGTTTCAGTTTATACACTGTGCAACTCGGATAATACAATATATGACAACCGCCTATAATAAAACAGCAGTCTTCTGCGTATCGTGAATTTGTATCCCTGGAGTGGATGTTATTTTGGAACTTTCAACTGGTCCGAGTGAGCTAACTGATTCTTTAGCAATAAACTGTGACTTCAAAAATAATATTCACTGACACTGACAGCAGTAAGCAAAATATCAGGTGCGTTTTAATCATCCGCTTCTGCTTCCGGAATTGTCGGTTTAGTCGTTTTAACCTGTCAGATTAAAACAATAAAACCGACAATTCCGAAGCAGAAGCGGATGATTAAAACGCACCTATTAAAAATATTGCGCCAAGATGTAGGCAACACGTAATAAGGGTTCAAAATGGCAGAGTTTTCTATCTCCTTTTAAAAGGCACTCAGAAAGCTGCGCAGTGCTACCATTCTCCGTATAGTAAAAGAAAATCAAAGTATGTGATTATCAGGGCTGGTGTATTATTAATTATACTGGGACGTGACGTCATATCATATGACAAGGATAGAGCTAAAATTCGCAGGAACATGCTGGTATTAGTGTATCGTGATTGCAGTGTATCATAAACAAGTTTAAATGCTACGTTTCATTAAACAAGAATTATCGTTTGACACAAATTTAGTTTTTTCAAATTTAGCGCACCGTTCAGCAAGCTCTGCTGATCCTGCTACCCCAATCGCAGCAAAAATCCGATACACTTATTGAACACAGCTAATTTTATATTATGCAGATATGTTCCATGGTTCAAAGTTTTTTTTTGTTTCATGTTTTAAACAAATGTCATATAAAATAATGACATTAAATAATTTAAACTATTTTAAAATTAAAGACTTATATAATGACAAAAATTAGTAAGGTCTCAGTGAAAAGTATGTATGTTATTATTCTTAAACGCATTGGTAACTTAACAAATATTTTATTTTAGATATTTAAGTGTTAAAAATTTTTACATGGAACTTTTTAGAAAAGCAGGTAAGTACTAACATAAAATTGAAATAATTATGGTCAGTTCTATGTTTTAAATTTTTTACTATCAAATCTGTCATTAGATAAGATGTTTTTTAAGTTGGAAATAAATTATTTAATTCATTTTTGTTAGACACCGTTTATGGTAACTGTAAACAATACTGACTCAAAAATTTTCACAATTTTGGCTATATTCTTAATGAAAATGATACTACTTACTATTTTTGATCAATTTAACTGCAGCAAAACCAAAATAACCAAAGTTAATATAAAAATATTGTGTATTAAACAGAAAATAAACCATTTTTTTTATATAACCTCGATTTTCTTAAAAACCTCTATTATTATATATAGCCATGTTGCCAATTTTTTAAGTGCCTGTATTTGATAAAATAACGGACAATCGATAAGACTATCGATGGTAACATACGGCATTCGAGTGTCAATTCCATAAAAATTATTAATTTATTTCGTTTCCTAAATAACTTTCTTACATTTAATTTCCAACCATATCCGGCGATTTATATATTCATTTTAATTTAATTGTAGAACATATTGACTAAATATTAATATAAAATCATTTCTAAAATACTTTTCGAAAACTTTTAAACTTAATTACTTTGTGTAATCCAGAAGTTTTTAAACCAATGCCTTGAACAATTAAAGAGGATAGCTGAATTCATTCCATTTTATGCTGAGTCAGCCGTGAAGTGACGTCACCCCTGGATGCTTTCAACGGAACTCATTTAAAATATACATCGATGTAATACACCTGTTTTTTATTCTATTTATTTTTAATTTAAAAGGTATTTCAGATAACAATATTCGAAACGTCATTTTAAGCAGAGAAAAAATTACAAACATCACAACATTACAGGAGTAAGTAAAATACGTAATACATTTGAATACTGCCGCCATGTTATCTAAAAATATTTCTCAAATAACTCATATTTGAGAAATTTTACATGCTAGTTATAAGAAAATTAGAAGTCGAAATTTATATACAAAGTGTAAAAAAGTTAATGCAAAATTAAATTTCTGATAAGTTCACAAAAAAGTTTTGAATAAAAGTTTTATGAAATTATTTAAGTTATCAGTATAAGTTAATAGGAGATATACTGGGTTGGCCGTTATTCCAAAATCAAGCAAGAATATATTTTTACGTACTGTATTACACTTAACATAAAACCTTTAAAACTGCATTGTGCTAAATTTATTAGCTCGAATACAGAGTTAAATATTAAAAAAAATATCCTTGCGTTATTTTGGAGTGCGCCTAGTATATTTCTAACTGACTTATACCGATGTTACTTGATTTATTTCATAAAAATTTTATCCAAAACGCTTTTTGTAAATCTATTAGAATTCAAAAAATAAAAAAATTAATGGCCAACGTTTTAAAATTCACGCTTGTCCTTTTACATTTACACCATAAGAGCACGCTTTGCTCGTCCCGCACACGTCCTAACCACTGCAGAATATAGCGGGTGAAGTCAATGAGGTGTGAAAAGACCGTTGATAGGACGAGCGTAGTTCTTATAGTGTAGGTGTAAAATAAGCGCGCCCGGCCGACGTTTCGAAATTCGCGAGCGCGAATTTCGAAACGCGGCCGGGCACGCTCGGTTCGCTCGCTCCTTCCTCTATTAGTGAGACCATTGTTGGGACAAGTGTAACTGACTATTATGGTGTAGGTATAAAAAGGGCGCGCTCGGCCGACGTTTCGAAATTCGCGCGCGCTAATTTCGAAACGTCAGTCGTGCGCGCTCCCTTTGCTTGCTCCTTCCTCTAGTAGGTCGTTGTTGGGACAAGCGTAGCTGATTCTTATGGTGTAGGTGTAAAAAGGGCGCACTCGATTCGCTCGCTCCTGCATCTAGGGGTAGGGCCGTTGGAACGAGCATAGTTTGCTGTTATGGTCTAAGTGTGAAAAGGGTGCGCACAAATTTCAAAACATCGATCAAGCGTGCTAGCTTCTAAGGTAGCTGGGACGTTGTAGGACGAACGTGCTTTCATGGTGTAGGTATGTCAGGAAATATTTATATTTTGTTTATGAAATAAATCAAGTCATCAATGCAAGTCAGAAATATGTCGGGTGCACCATTACTTAAAAATAACGAATGGATGGCTAATAGCTAATAAAGTTAGCACAATTTTATTTTAACGGTTTTATTTTAAATTTAATTTATTACGAAAAACTATTTACAAAAAATTTTTTTTTGTAATTTATGAATACTGGTCAATCCAGTATATTTTTTTATTAAGCACGAAGGTGTATTTCTTAATAACTTGATTTATTTCATGAAACTTTCTTTAAAACTTTTTTGTAAACTTATCAGGAATGTACATAATAATAAGTTAAGTTATTTTTTGTTCACTCTGTATATAAATTTCGACTTTATCATGTCAAATTTTTTAAAAAGATGTTTAGAAAACATGGCCATAATATTTAAATTTATTACCCTCTATTTACATATTTATTTACTTCTATAATTTTCAGACGAGTTAAATTTTCTCTCTGGTAAAATGATCTTTTGAATATCTGAAATATCTTTTAGTTTAAAAATAAACAAAATAAAACGTAATTTAAAAATAAGGTGTATTGATGTACGTTTTAAATGGGACGGCTGAAAGTTTTCAGGGTTGACGTCACGCTGCGCCGGACTATAGAAATTGAATGAATTCGGCTATCCTCTTTAGTTGATATAGTCATTGACTTTGGTTGACAATTAATTTATCAGACTAATTAATTATCTTGTTTGAAAGTTTAAAAACTTTTGAATAACCCAAAATAATTATTGTTTATTACTTTATAGATAAAGTAATATTAATATTTAGTTAATATGTATAAAATGGATAAAAAAAATCGGATGGACTGGAAATTAAAAGTTAAATTTGTTAGGAAAAGCAACGAAATAAATTAATAAAAGTAGCTTTTTAAAGTGTTTGGAAATGTTACGCCAAAAATAAGACACTTTGTGGGGTTTGAAAAGTACTATTTTTCCTAATGCCTAAAATGTAAGTATAAAAAAAATTGGATTATTAAGAAAAATATATTATTATATTCCCAATAATTACCTTTTCATGCGTGATATGAACATTGTTTTAATATGTATTCGATTCATAAAAGTAACTGATTGATTCTGTCAATTATTAATCTAGATTTTGTTATAAATCGAAATGTTTGGTAAGCTTGCTTATGCTTTACACGAAAATCGAAAAATCTTAGGTTAGAATCACCAAAATTCGAAAATTTTAACTAAAATTTCTCTGTAATTTGTGTGTAACCCGCAAATTTTTTTTTGTTATTTTATATATACACTAATACTATTTTCTAGTTCAATTTTTTTTTTAAATTCGTGTGTTTGTTACGTTTACAGGCACCCAGTATTCTGTTTTATCTAACACTATTGATCGAATTATTGCTATGATTTTCAAAAGGAAAATATTTTAGTGTGAGACCATTCTAGTACACTGAATATTGTGATTTCCCGAAAAACAGTCATCACCAGTGGCGGTTTGCCCGTAAGGGCACTTGGGCACGTGCCCTAGTATAATAAACCAAACTAAAAAATAACTTACATATTTTATATTTTCCTCAATGCCTATTATTATTTTATCTAATATTCAGCGCAAAACGCGTTGGCACGACACTGGACGACCGGGCGTCGAGCGACATTCCGAGAATTCCGAAAGAAGATGGGCACAGAGCACAGTAAATGTGTGCCTCTGTTATTTTCTCTCTCATTATGATGCGAAAAACAAGGACAACGACAATATCGCTTAGCAAGAGATGAACACATGCGATGGATTAAATGTCACAAGCAGAGCGCTGTCCTAGATCAGATATGAATGTACGCAGAGGCATCTTTACCCGGCTCTCTCACAAAGGTGATGTCGGTTTCGGCTGAAGGTGCGCGTTTGTTGGACCATGATAATAATAATTTATTTATTTATTGGAATAGTTAAGAAATAAAACTACAAAGAAAAATAACTTTTTTTATAAAGCAGTCAAAAATATGATGAAAAAAAAAATCAATAATATTTATAAATGGGACAAAATTTTAATTTTTCTTTTGGTTTTGTCTGACTTTTTCGAGGATTTCAAATCTCTGTTTGCATATTTAAGAACATAAAAAATTCTGAGTCTTATAAATAATTTAATGGTGACATTTATGCAAATTGTTGACAAGGATGACCAAATTCTATTTTGCTCATCTCAAAAAGGTATGCGTTGGAAATTCCAGGCTTAGTTGACAAACTATCAAATAGAGAGACAAATATTTTTTCTAATTTAAGTATATAAAAGAAAAATTTTTCGCTGGGAGATTTTAAATTGCCAAACACCTTTTCTTTATAGTCGTATGCTTTAAAATGCGTTAACAAGTTAGAATTGTTAAGTAAAATGCATGTTTCTGAGAAATTTACGCAAGAGTGGATATGTAATGGTTTTTTGATTAAATAGCCACATACATAGTTGAATGCATTTTGAGTGGTCACATTTAGCTCCCTGTAGTCATATTCAGAAATCGTTATTGCCACAACTGATTGTTTTGAAATAAATTTAATTTTCATTAAGCGGAGAACTTGTTTTCCTAAGGGAAAAACGAATCCCGGGATTCCTTTCCAGTGTGTGCCCCACTGCCGCAAGTGCCCACGAGCCGCCACTGGTCATCACATGACATTTAGTCTTCATAATTACGGTGCAGCCAATTTTAGATGAGCTTGGAACTTGTGATTGTTAAAATCATAAAATAAGAGATCACAAACAGTTGCGTTTTTGGTCAGTATTTCTAGTATTTTCTAGGTTAATACTAACATCATCGCAAGATATATCCACTATTCCTTTCAGTTTGATTTTTCTTGATAATTTGAAGTTAAATGTGTTCACAATATAATCACTATATCAAGATCTAACTACATAAACCAAAAATTAATAACATCATCTGTTAAATATGAACTATTCTACAAAATTTGGATCGCTAAAATACAGTATACATAAAGAACTATTC